CATAGTTCAATTTCATGTGAGATGGGTGCCCTTAGTAAAACTACTCAAGTTCAATTTAGGGATTGTGCCAAAATAGGATAAGCAGTAAAATATTTTATTAGTAACAGAATAGCAAAGACAACTTGTTAAGTTTATAATATGCATAGTTGATCGCTAAATTTAGGGGCTGCGTGCACTATTGGCCTACAGACAGATCTACAACACGTGAATTCATTCATTTATCCTGAAAGAAATGGAAGTGACACGAGTGCCTGCAAGAGGGAGAAAAATTGAGAAGCCTATATTTTATAGTTATATATACAATACTCATTTTGTGAAAGAAACACTTCTTCAAATTATATTTTAAATGATCATTAGGCCTATTGCCGCTTGCTCACTTCAGACATTAGGCCTAATGTGCATTTTTCTTCTTCAAATTATAGCTGAATGGTTTGCAATGATTAATTTTAAATCTAGATTAAATCAAGGTTTATCTAATAATTCTGTTGCACCAAACTTCAAACCTTTAAAAATAAGCAGGTTTACATTTTTAACCCATCATTTTGATCGGATTTAAGTTATATTTAAGATTAACTTTAATCCTGTTGCACCATAACTTTAAACTCAGATTTAAATCTCAATTATGGATTAACTTTAAACTTAACCCTTAAATGCATACCTCAGGTCTTTAGAGACCCGGGACATCATTCTCTACCCTCTCCCTCCTTCATTATTTTAAGTTAGACATTAACTTTCTTAGTATTCCTCAATCTATTAATTATAAACAATATAACAAGAAAAAAATAGTAAAATATAAAAGAATGCCAGTTTTCTGATTAATTTTTTTGTAAAAAGTGTATAGGGTCGCTAGAGAACCGAGGTATGTAAACATGTGTAAGTATTTTTTTCCTGCGCAACTATATTTACATATCTGATTACTCAATATGTGCAATGCATCTTTTTTCCTCAAGGTGGCACTGTTTGATACACAATAATGACGTGACGTTTCACTCATAATTACAGCAGGCATAAAACAAACGAATATCATCAGCAAAAATTGAAGTGGTTTGAATGGCTTTATGGCAGAGCAATTACTATATGCAATGAAATATAAATGTCACACTCCTTTGATGCTAAGTCTTTCCGAGTCACAGGGCTCAAGTCCAAGTCAAGTCTCGAGTCATTGCTGTCAAAGTCTAAGTCGAGTCTCAAGTCTTCTTTAATTATGTCGAGTCGAGTCGCAAGTCATCAAATTTGGGACTCGAGTCCGAGTCAAGTCTCGAGTCAAGTGACTCGAGTCCACACCCCTGCATCACAATATGGTAAGGGACGTAACCAGGGTTGCCAGGTTTTCACAAGAAAACCCGCCCAATCGCTACTCAAAACTAGACCAAAACTAGCCCAATCGCGTTTCGAGTGTTCCCCCAGTTAAAAATCATGTTCGGGGGGGGGGGTAAAATACACGTTTTTTGGTGGGGTTCCCCTGCTAAAATTCGCATTCCAGGGGATAAATATGATGTTTTTTGAGTCGCTTCAACACGTTTTTTGGTGGGGTTCCCCTGCTAAAATTCGCATTCCAGGGGATAAATATGATGTTTTTTGAGTCGCTTCAACCCGCGGCAACAGCAGGAAAACCGCGGACTTGGCAACACTGGACATAACATTTCTGTCACACGCTTGAGGAATTCGGCCAATCACAACGCATTGGATAGCTGGCCAATCAGAGCACACCTCACTTTTTCAGACCGATGAGCTTTGTAAAAATCGACGCGTTTCAGAAAGGCGGGGCATAGAGGAGAAACAATAATGTACAGTATGTGGAAAATAATGTGTTTTTTGAACCATAAACCGCATAAACACATTTCATTACACCAAATACACAAAATAATGTTCTTTTTAGCAGCATCATATGACCCCTTTAATTTATTATATCAGTGACATTGAATGCACCAAAAATATAACATGGATGCAACCTTCTAAATCCAGCCCATGTGTTCAAAATGGACACCACTATTCACAGCTTGTGCACAGATATATCGATGCCCTCCTCAGAAATGTCATGCCCATTCAAACTGGGGTCACTTACCTCACTTACCTTGTCACATTTTTAGCCACATGGATTTAAAGAAATCAAGCATCAAGTGTTAATCACAAGCATATCAAAATCATATCAAGCATATCTGTTTGTAGAGCATTTTCTTTCAATAATACTGAATTATATAATATACATGAAACTACCCTGTAGCAGATTTATACAGGTGGAGCTGGGGAAGGCGAAGGGTTTCTGAAGCACGCTGCAACTGCTACAGCAAGCACTAGCTGAGTATTTTAATGTTGAGCAGCAAGCTTATTGGCTGCTGATGTGATCATAATGAGTTAGAAACTATCAACCTATGCCATCTAGAGTTTCATGACAGAACTCTATGTATGTATGTATATATATATATATATATATACATACAGTCAAACCAAAATTTATCCAGACGCCATCAACATTTCACACATTATCACAGTTTTTTCACTATAGTTTAGAAAATGGTAATAAAATATGACAAGAGTTAAACTGTGTCAGAACAAATTCATCTTGATAATGTCAGATAACACTTAAAGGTGACATATCATGAAAATCTGACTTTTCCAGGTTTTAAGTGCTATAATCAGGTCCCCAGTGCATCTACCAACCAAGGAAACGTGAAAAAGATTAACCCAGTAACTTTGTTTTGGTAAGCCTTTTTCTGCAAGCGTCTGAAAAAACGAGCGCGTCTGATTTCGCTCCCTTGGTGACGTGGCAAAAGGATCTCATTATAATATTACCGCCCCTTAATCTGTAAGTTTACACCCACGGTGCCGTTATTGTGTTTCCGCAAGCGACAACAGTGTACCAGCTCAGTACACAGCAGTGGATTTATTGATTTATTTAATGTATATTTCTGCTGCCACACAGATCTAATATAAACATGCAATTTATATCCCAGCTGTTTACCTTCACAGACATAACCAACTGTTTTT